AGTGCAGTGGCCGCTCCTGGCCACCGCAGCCTCGACCTGCTGGGCTCCGGCGATCCTTCCGCCTCAGCCTTCCAAGTAGCTGGAACTACAGGTGCGCGCTACCATACCCGGCTACTTTTTGATTTATTGTAGAGGTGAGGTCTCGCCAAGTTGCCCAGGCAGGTGGCGAGCCCACAGGCTCAGGCAATCCACTCACCTCGGCCTTCCAAAGCGCGGGATTACAGGTTGAGCCACCGAGCCCAGCTTGTTTTGTTTTTTTTTAATTTTTTTTTGAGTTGGAGTCTCACTCTGTCACCCAGACTGGAGTGCAGTGGCCGCTCCTGGCCACCGCAGCCTCGACCTGCTGGGCTCCGGCGATCCTTCCGCCTCAGCCTTCCAAGTAGCTGGAACTACAGGTGCGCGCTACCATACCCGGCTACTTTTTGATTTATTGTAGAGGTGAGGTCTCGCCAAGTTGCCCAGGCAGGTGGCGAGCCCACAGGCTCAGGCAATCCACTCACCTCGGCCTTCCAAAGCGCGGGATTACAGGTTGAGCCACCGAGCCCAGCTTGTTTTGTTTTTTTTTAATTTTTTTTTGAGTTGGAGTCTCACTCTGTCACCCAGACTGGAGTGCAGTGGCCGCTCCTGGCCACCGCAGCCTCGACCTGCTGGGCTCCGGCGATCCTTCCGCCTCAGCCTTCCAAGTAGCTGGAACTACAGGTGCGCGCTACCATACCCGGCTACTTTTTGATTTATTGTAGAGGTGAGGTCTCGCCAAGTTGCCCAGGCAGGTGGCGAGCCCACAGGCTCAGGCAATCCACTCACCTCGGCCTTCCAAAGCGCGGGATTACAGGTTGAGCCACCGAGCCCAGCTTGTTTTGTTTTTTTTTAATTTTTTTTTGAGTTGGAGTCTCACTCTGTCACCCAGACTGGAGTGCAGTGGCCGCTCCTGGCCACCGCAGCCTCGACCTGCTGGGCTCCGGCGATCCTTCCGCCTCAGCCTTCCAAGTAGCTGGAACTACAGGTGCGCGCTACCATACCCGGCTACTTTTTGATTTATTGTAGAGGTGAGGTCTCGCCAAGTTGCCCAGGCAGGTGGCGAGCCCACAGGCTCAGGCAATCCACTCACCTCGGCCTTCCAAAGCGCGGGATTACAGACTGAGTCACCGAGCCCGGCCGCCAGTGATCTTTTTTATTTTCTTTTTGAGTCGGGGTCTCACTCTATTAACCCAGGCTGGACTGCAGGGGCCCAATCCCGGCTACGGCAGCCTTGACCTCCTG